TTAAAGACGATGCCACTGCTAATGACTCCTTGATACCAATTTCAACTCTTGGAAGTGGCATGACCTGATGAACTCCACGGTGAGACATGATGCGGGATGACAGCAGATGGAGCACAGAACTACACAGCTCCTGCCCTTGTCAAGTGTGCTAGGAGGCAAACAACACGTATTTGTGGGGAAACTGGGTCAAAACAAGGAGAAAACCCACTGAGTTCCTGTCAGGAAAGGCAACAATCACCATCCCCCGCATCCCTCGCCCCAGGTACAAGAGCTGCAGAATACGAAGTGCCAGTGACAGGTATTAGGGACAAATGGAGTGGAGCCACAAGTTCCTATATGGCTGAGCAGAGGGTTCAACTAGTAAGTGTGATTTTTTTCATCCTTAAAAACCACAGATGACAGCCAGACCCTTTGTGGGCTCTGTCCTATCAGGCCAGCTTCTCTTCTGATGTTATCTGAAGGTGTTGCCATGTGGTCTAGAATGCTGCCACTCTTCCTTCATTGCCAAGAAGAAAAGGGTGGAGGTGGGTGACCCCCATCAGTCCCTCCAACACAGTAAGCTTGTCATTAAGTTCACACATGAAGGAGCTAGTCAGCACCATTAAGAGCCAGAGAAGTAAATGTTGGTACAATAATATGACAGCATCTTCTCCCCAAATCACCAGTCAAATCTTTCCATGAAGACTGCCCTGTCTGCCTATCTGCACAGGAAGAAGACAAAGAGGAAAGCTAGAACCGCTTGGTGGTACACAGGCTTTTTCAGTAACTCCAGAGCCACTGAAGTAATTGGAGATAAGGTGACAAGGGGAAAAAAAAATCTTGGCATCTGCCACATTGCTCCTGGGGAGGGGGGGATGTGAAAAATGAGAGGCATGAAGAACTCATCAAAGCTCCAACCTTTGGAAGGACAATTTTAGTGGACTTCTGGTATCATTAATCATCTTGAGTGGAGACAGGCTGAATGTGCCCAGAAATGCATGCAGACTCTTTGTTGCAGGCTTTGCTTCCCTGGTCTAGGGGCAGGTGAGTGGATACAGCAGTACCTGACACAAGCCTGACATGGAGCTTGATAGTCTCTACTTACAGTACACAGTGCTGCTCTGAATGACTGTCCCTTTCTTGTTCCATGACCTTTGTCAACCTGCAAGCCTCTGGGCCTGGGTTTTCTCATGCATGGAGGTGGGATTACACCTCTTGGCTGCAGGATCTAAAAGCCTCAAAACAGAATGAGCCTTCCCACTAGCTGTGCATGCAGAGATTAGGATGTGTGGAGGGTAAATTACTTCATCTCTCTTGAGTTTCCACCAAAGTGAGTGGCCATTCAGGAAACTGTCAAGATTACCCACAAGGTTACACAACCTGACTAAGCCTTTTTATGCCTTCCATCAGAGACTCTGAGAAAGGCTAAGCTATGGCATTAAACAGAATGATCTCGTTTATAACAGACAATTCATCTTTGATCAATTCATCAGTTGATCTCGTTTATAACAGACAATAACATCCTTTCTAGGAAACTGTTTACCCAGAAGAACTGATGAACATCACGGAGGAGGGAGGGTGGTTCATACAGAGAAGATATGGGAACAAAATACACAGAAAGCTCAGCAGAGACTGTGCAAGAGTTAAAGGCAAAGATGATTAAAAGCAGTGAAGGATCTTGGCTCTACCACACACCCTTGTCTGGGTCCTTAGTCCCCATCCCTCAAATCTGGCCCAAGTTGCCAAGTGGTAAATTGGTTACAGGCTAGAGGGACAACTCAACAAGTGAGAGCACTGGAGCAATTAAGAGCACCAGCTGCTGCTCTTCCAAAGGACCAAGGCTCCATTCCGAGCACCTACATGGCATCTTACAACCACATACAGCTCCAGTTCCAGAGACTCTGACTCCCTCTTCTAGACTTTGTGGGTATCAGGCACAGAAGTGGTGGACATACATACATACACTACACATAATTTTAATCTTTTAAAAAAACTTTAAAGAGTAAATTGGTTAATATAAATGCAAACATTCTTAATGCATAAGCTAACATGCAGAAAAATGTCATCATCTATAGCAGAAACATTTCACTGTCCATAGCTCCCTCATTTCTTAAGCCCCCTACAGACAGGTTGGGTCACTGGGAAACAAGGTATCAGGTGTCATCTGAGGACAGCAGCGGTGAGAACTGGCTCTTACATCATCTTTCTCTTCCTACCTCTGCAATGGTGTGCTGAGGTAGAAGCACACAGTAGAATAGCCTCATCACCCACTCACCACATGTCCAACAGCTGCCCCAAAGAAACCCAACTTGTATCAAACTTTTAAGAAGTAGGTCTTTGTTGTATTTCAGAAACAGGAAACATTTGCTGAGCACCTAGAATGTTCCAGGCACCATATGTAGTGCTTTAGTGTATTTTTAATAATTCTTTTCTTGTTACTGTAGAACAACAGTTCTGATCTGAGGATAATTCTGGTACCTAGGAACTATGGCAATGCCCAGTGACATTTTTGGTTGTCATTAGTGAGGGGGTCCTGGTAGCTTCTAGTGGGTAGAGACCAAGACACTGCTGAACACCCCTTTAATAAATAATTAAATATTACACCAACCCAAGGAAAACTCCTCCCTTTGATGCCCAGACCCGGTTTCTTCAAAAGTCTGTTTTTATCCAGATTTACACACACGTTATATGTATGTATCTACACGTACACACCCCTATTTCCTCATTTCGTTTTATGCTCAAATGGGGACAAATCCCACACAATGCTCTGCTCTGGGCATCTCAGGTTCACTTTGCACAGAACTTACACACTTACACACACACACACACAATTTAGTGGCTGACAGCGTTCAGATGTTAATTTCTCACAGTGCACCACAACAGAAGCCCTTTCATTTTCCTAGAGCTTTCAAGCAAGCTCACTCCTGGCCCCACCCTGATTCAACTGGCCTGGGAGGAACCAGAGAAACTACAAATTGCTTGAAGAGTATCAATCAGAATTGAGGACTAGAGGAAATCCCACTCGCAGTGACATCAAGACCTTCAGACCCCTCAGGAATATCACTACTCCCAAAATACCATCTCTCATCTTGCTCTATTCCTTTCCTCATCCACATTTAAACAGGCCAAACTACCTGCTCCATCAACCGTATCATCTCTCTTCAGTCATTCTTCAAAGCACTTAGGTTCCTCTCCCTGAAATCCGCAAGCCCTCACCTCATGTTCACCTTTGCCTCTCAAGTGACCACTGATTCCATTCCTCTTTTGAAATGCTACCTTCTGTTGGACTCTGTGCCATCAACCCTGAGCTGGCTTGGAATGCAATTAAAATAACACAGGATAAACATCCTGGGCAGCAAGGTTAAAAGTGTAAAGACTAAGCTTAGAGTGATGGCACGTGCCTTTAATCCCAGCACTGGGAAGACAGACCAAGAGTCTCTCTTTGAGTTTGGGGCCAGCCTAGTGCTTCAATGTATTTTTAATAATTCTTTTCTTGTTACTGTAGAACAACAGTTCTGATCTGAGGATAGCAAGTTCTAGGCCATCCAAGAGTGCATAGTGAGATGCTGTCTGGAAAAAAGAAAGAAAGAGAGAGAGAGAGAGAGAGAGAGAGAGAGAGAGACAGCAAAAATCCCAAGGCTGAGGATATAGCTCAGTGTTAAAAGTGCTTATCTAGTGCTCCCCAGTAGCACAGCACACAGGTCTAAACCTATGAGTACCAGAGTTGTTGTTGCATGTTCCTCCAGTTTTGGAGAAGCAACAGGTGGCAACAGGTGGTTAGAAACCTCTGTGCTTAGCAGATGGAGACTTAAGTCTTAAACAAAATGGAACACATTAAAAAGGAGAGAGATCGTGACTATACAGACAGAATAAAAGTCCAAACAAGCAATTGGGTGACTGGAAGAGATTGGGCTGGAGAAATAAATGTGGATCTTCAATGTAGGTGGTAAAGCTAAGAAATGGCAGTGTCTCTCGCTAAAGAAACATAAAAGACCAAGAACCAATCCTAGGGCTAAGACAGACACACAAATCATGCCACTGTGAAGCTGCAAGATAATAAAATGGTACAAGCAGGAGAATGAAACCTTGATCAAGTAGTAGCCGACCTTTCTCTCCACCTGCATAGCTGAGCCAAGCAGCAAGCAGCTCCAGTGCAGTGGCAAGCCTCAAGTGTTAACAGGACAATGGGAGCCGGGTGGTGGTGGCTTTCTTTTTAATCCCAGCACTCGGGAGGCAGAGGCAGG